ATCACTGGGCTAACCCATCCCCCCAGCCCCCTGCCCTCTAAAACCCTGTTTGTTTCTCAGAGTCCATAGTCTCTCATGGTTCATCTCTCCCTCCAGTTCCGCCCCCCACCTCATTTTTCCCTTCCTTCTCCTAGTGTCCTCCATGCTATTCCTTATGTTCCACAAATAAGTGAAACCATATGATAATTGACTTTCTCTACTTGACTTATTTCACTTAGCATAATCTCCTCCAGTCCCATCCATGTTGATGTAAAAGTTGGGTAGTCATCCTTTCTGATGGCTGAGTAATATTCCATTGTATATATGGACCACATCTTCTTTATCCATTCATCTGTTGAAGGGCATCTCGGCTCTTTCCATAGTTTGGCTATTGCGGACATTGCTGCTATGAACATTGGGGTGCATATGGCCCTTCTTTTCACTACATCTGTGTCTTTGGGGTAAATACCCAGGAGTGTAATTGCTGGGTCATAGGGTAGCTCTATTTTTAAATTTTTGAGGAACCTCCACACTGTTTTCCGAAGTGGCTGTACCAACTTGCATTCCCACAACAGTGTAAGAGGGTTCCCCTTTCTCCACAACCTCTCCAACATTTGTTGTTTCTTTCCCTGTCCATTTTGGCCATTCTAACTGGTGTAAGGTGGTATCTCAGTGTGGTTTTGATTTGGAGTTCCCTGATGGCTAATGATGATGAACATTTTTTCATGTGTCTGTTAGCCATTTGTATGTCTTCTTCAGAGAAGTGTCTGTTCATATCTTCTGCCCACTTTTTGACTTGATTATTTGTTTTTTGGGTGTTGAGTTTGAGAAGTTCTTTATAGATCTTGGATACCAGCCCTTTATCTGTAGTGTCATTTGCAAATATCTTCTCCCATTCTGTGGGTTGCCTCTTTGTTTTGTTGACTGTTTCCTTTGCTGTGCAGAAGCTTTTTATCTTGATGAAGTCCCAAAAGTTCATTTTTGCTTTTGTTTCACTAGCTTTTGGAGATGTATCTTGAAAGAAGTTGCTGTGGGCGATGTCAAAGAGGTTACTGCCTATGTTCTCCTCTAGGATTTGGATGGATTCCTGTCTCACATTGAGGTCTTTCATCCACTTTGAGTTTATCTTTGTGAATGGTGTTAGAGAATGGTCGAGTTTCATTCTTCTGCATGTGGCTGTCCAATTTTCCCAGCACCGTTTATTGAAGAGACTGTCTTTTTGCCATTGCATGTTTTTTCCTGCTTTGTCAAAGATTATTTGACCATAGAGTTGAGGGTCCATATCTGGGTTCTCTGAAGAGGCCAGGGTCTTGCGTGGGTGCCCAGAATGGTCAGATCGTCTGAATTGTTTTTTTTTTTTTTCAAGAGCAAAATCTGCATTTTTAGGTGAAATCTCATCTTGAAACGCCAGCAGCTAATGAAAAAACCTCCAAAAAAGCCACCCCACCCTGCAGGCCGCAAAACAGGTCTGGTCTCTAGGGTGAGGCCAATGGCTAAAAAAAAAAATTATGGTAAAATATGCATATTACAATATTGATCACTGTAACCATTTGTAAGTGAATTAAATCTCTCACAGTATTATACCACCATTGTTACTACTAGCCATTTTCAGGACATTCTCATTTTTTAAAACAGAAGCTGTGTCCCCATTAAATAGTAACACCCCCCCCCCCGTCCTCCCCCACGGCCTCTGGTAACCTGAGTTCTTCTTTCTGTGTCTGAATTTGCCTGTTCTGTGAACCTCGTGTAGGTGGGATTATGTAATACTGTCCTGTGTTGGGCCTGTTTGACTCAGCATCATGTGTTCAAGGTCGATCCGTGTGTCAGAATTCACTGGACGCTGTGTCACTGCATGTATGAGTAGACCACGTTCTGTTGATCCATTTGCCTGTTGCCCTCTCTGCCTTCTCTGAAGAAGCGTTCTGCCCCGGCAAATACTTAGATCATGACTATCCTCTATTGCAAGGATCTTAATTCCGATTGTGCTGACCAATGGCTGAGCACTAGGGTATGGAATAAGGGACACATGGCCTTTGAGGACAGTGGGGGAGGCAAACACACGCTTTCACGGAGAGAGCGTGGTGGTGGGGTTTCCTGGGGTGCCATGGACGCTGTGGGCACTGGGGCTTGGCTTCCCCGGGAGACACTGCAGCTCAGTCTCGAAGGATGAGCTGCCCAGAGCGCCTGCCCCATGTCCTTCATTCACTTGGCGGAGGAGGAACACAGGGATCTGAAACCATGTAACAATGAGCCAGGAGCCCTCGTTCTAGGCTCGGCTGCCTGGGCTCAGATCTGCCTCCCTCCCCGCCCCCCGCCCCCCCCCCCCCCGCCATAGCTGTGCATCCTGGGGCCAGGGCCTGAGTGTCCTCACCTATCCAATGGGGGTGATGATCAGATCTGTGGCATAGGCTTGTTATATGGATTAGACCTGTCCAGACCTGCCAGGTGTTTTGAGCGATGCTTTGCGTACAGACAGTGCTCAGAAGCAATAGCTGTTATTCCTCCTGGGGGCAGGGTTGTGAAAATGGGGCCTGTGGAGGCTGGAGCAGGTTGTGCGGGGCCTTCAAGCCGGCTGTGCTTGCTTAGATGCTATCAGGAGGCACAGGGGGAGCAGGGACGAACGTTTGTGGTGGATGTGACCCTGCAAAAATCTTACCTGCGTAGGACTTTCCCTTGGCCTCCCAGGAAGCTGGTCACCCTGTCTGCTTAATGACCTTGAGCTTTTCTCCTTGAAAGCATCTCTTTTATTATTGGAGTGTGCCAGTTGTTGTTTAAGGACTGTGATTTTGTGACTGTCCTCTTCCTGCCTTTGGACAAAACCCGTTCCTTCTCTGGGCCTCAGTTTCCCCATCTGATGGTGTTGGGCTGGCTAATTCCTGAGGGTGGTCCCAAGCACCTGTGCACTGGAATTCTGTGGCTCGTAGTGGGTGGAGTTTTACTTATGTATACCCACCAGAGATGGACAAAAGGTGAAAGTGAAGGAGAAAGGCTCCCTCTCATTTCTCTTGGGTTCCTGGACCAGGAGAAGAGACTCCGTGAGAATCCTTTTCCTGGGGACATGGCTTTCATCAACTGCCATTTTGTGCTTCGCCTCTCACTCCTGGCATGAGTTGGGAAGAGAGCTGGGGATGGAGACTCTATGGACCCAGCTTGATATGTCCGGATCCCTTTTCCAGATGCTTCTCCCTTTCCTCCCAATTATGAGACTCCTGAAAATGGTCCTTTCTTTTCAGAGTGGGTCAGAGTCCTATGGGGAAATGAACTGAACTGAAGGGACCCAGATATTATTGGTGACAGAACTCAGTTCAGCCAATGAGAGGCCCAGGAGGAGGTGGTGCACCGGATATCAACACATTATTGTTTATCGTCTGTTTCCTCGATTCTTTTATTACTTGATCTTCTGACTTAGAGCTTGCACTGCAGTTAGTGAATAAGAATGCCCTTCTTGACATGGACCCACGCCTCGCTTGTAACCACCACCTGAAAGACAGACATATGTCTCTGGTGGATGACTTTTGACCTGTCTTTGATAAAGGGGTGAGGATTTTCTCTGACTGGTTCTGTCCAGGGCCTTTCACATGGAAAGTACTGTGTCTTGATGACACAGTGTTGGATGCTGGGGAGATGGTGGTGACTCGAACTCGGTCCCTTCCATCATGGTGAGAGTTGGTACCTTGACCACATTTTCCCTCTTCCCTTTTGACAGAAACCCATGTCTCCCTTAATCATTTCAGGAGTCTAATAGAACTCTAAGGCCACGACTTGCAGACATACTCATTACTCAGGGCTCCAGCTAGCTCATTGCCTGTGTGTTGTTAAGATCATCTACACCGCATCAACTTTGGTAGCAATCACAGGACTTTATTAATTATTATTTGGGGAAATATGTTCTATACTAGGAAGTTCAAATAATGCTTGGGAACCAGATTTCTTTGGGTGAACCTTAAGAGCCAAGCCTATAGATTCATATCTAACCTATCACCGAAGATGTTAATAGTTGTGCTTAAAGCAGGGGAGAGGGGTTCTGTGGCCAAATGTTGGGACTTGGTGCTTACCCCAGCCCACCTTGCAGAGTTACACTGCCTGTGAGCAGATTAAAGGCTCTGAGAAGTCCTGCAGTAAAGAAACCTATTTGACATTGACTCAGCATTTTCCAAATGCTTATTAGCTTTAGAATTTGTTTCCCACCCTCATAAACCCATTTAATATCCTTCAGAGCCAGCGTTCCACAAAGCACCCTGGAAACACTTGTGGAAATGATTTGTTTCAGCCGAAAACGGCCCAATGGCCAATGTAGGTGGTCAGAAAAAGAAATCTGTTATTTGCAAATGCAGAGTTTTATTTGACTCGTTGGCCCCAAACTGAGGAACTTGTGCTCTTCTCCAAGGAAGGAGAGTTCACTCCTGAGCAAAACCTCTCATCGATTCTTGTAATGAGTCATGTGAAATCCAGACCGTTGACTGGAAGGTGGGGGGTGGGTTCCTACGTTTCCACCCTCTCCAAGGGCTCAAGAGGTAGGGCATTGTTTCAGGCTCTCAGGGCAGAATATGTGAGCCACTTGTGTTCTCAGTCAAGAAGCCATGTCGGGGGCAGCAAGTGATCTGTAATAGGGCCCCTGTGACCGTCTTGGTGTGTGCAGGACACTTGGAAATAGTCTTTGGTTGAACAAAGCATATAGTGAAGTATCATGTATAACGGCCTATCTTTTTTTAAAGAAAGATACAAGAGACATTCAAACATAATAGCAGTGGGATGATGGGCAATTTCTGTTCTTTTCCTTTTCCTTGTTACCTACTGGGGCCCAGGTTTCTATTGTCGACGTACATTCCCATTAGAAAAAGAAATACACAAATATAAATAAAAATACACGTATGTTCAAATAGACACACATAACACAAACACACGCATACACCTTGCTGTACCTTGTGTAAACCAAGATGAATATAAGTTGGTGAGTTTTGGTCTTAAATCTTTGGTTTCTAATAGTTCCTTCAAAGCGTGTCCTTTTTTAATTTTTCCAGATGGGCAGCAAATTTGGGAGATGGAAGCTACGGTGGATAAAGACAAGAGCCAGCCTGTAAGCACCTGGACGAGATGACTGAGCACCCTGTCATGTCCCCCTCCCACCTCCCTCATGTTCTCTTTCCTTCCTTTTTTCCTCCTTCATCCAAGTCCCAGGGCTTTGGAGCTAACAGGCACTCAGTAGGTATTGAATGGACACATCAGTTGAACATTTATTGAGCACCAGGCCCTCTGATTTGTAACTGTGGCATCGTGATAGAATTTGGGAGAGTAAGTGGCAATCCTTTGTTCACCCACAGCTGGAAGGTCAAGTGCCTCTTAGAATCTCGCCTATAAACGTACAGAATGTGTCTTGACTCCTTTGAGAGGAGCTGGCTTGATGTGCTTGGGGCCTTGCTTAGGAATGTAGGCATTGTTGCAGTTAAGTTGATGATAGCTCCTTCCTTCCAGAACATGCTTTTTGTTGAGATCCCTGAGTATCGAAACAAGCACATCCGTGCATCGGTGAAGGTGAACTTCTACGTCATCAATGGGAAAAGAAAACGAAGTCAGCCTCAGCACTTTACCTACCACCCAGGTAAGAAATCTTCTCTGGAGGCCCCTTTGGTGTTGAGAGGTGAGGTAGGACATTGTCCTCAGGTGAGGACACGTGAGGTCTGCTCCCAGCTGGGTGACCTTGGGCAGGTGACTCAACCTCTTGGAGTCTCTGTTTCCTCATCTGTCAAATGGCACCTTCCTTATAAGACTTAAAGAAATCAAATGCACGTAATGTGCTTAGCACAGCGCACGGTAAGCAGATATGGATGATATTAGCTATTACTAATATTTTTCTTCTGCGGGGGGAGGCAGATGAGGAGGGAGGCATGCGTGGACTTGTTCAACAACATGACCTCTGTCCATGTCTTAGATTTGCTCCTGATCAGGGGACTGAACCCTCCCTGAAACTTGCAGGATCTGTAGTGGACCCCGCAGTGGGTAGTCTCTCTGCGGCCTCTGGATTCCTGGGTGGATAGCCAGGCCAGGAGGTCTCATTCCCACAAAGTACTACAGTTCCCCAAGGCTGACACAGGCCTACCAGTCACATTTCCAGGACTGGAAACCTATAATCCGAGACTATCACCAAGAGTATAATTTCCACCCTGTGACAGCGTCACGTGGAGCCTCTCATGCCGGAAGCACAAGACCAAGGGGACCATCCTGGAAGCCCAGGCTTGGTGGGGCTTGGCTTTGGTGGGGTGTGTCCAGAGGCTTGTCTGGTCTCTCTGGCCGTGGCACCATCTCAGGACTGACGTGATAAGCCGTGAGTGGCAGGGGCCTGCGGGGGCCCAAGACTATGGGAGACAAACTCTGGGAAGGTTCTAGACAGCAGCTCAGTGATCCTTGGGTTCTACGGCACTCTCACCTCATGCCTGTGGTCAGGAGGCCTCCCTGGGCCTGGCGTTGGCCCCTGCCTGTCTGAGGCCGAACCTCCTTGCTGCCTCTACTCCTTGATGCCTGGCGATTCCCTGAACTTGATTAGCATCCTGTCCCCACTACATTCGCTCCAGCGAGGAAACTGGGTCCTCAGCAACTGGGGCTGGCAATGCTTTAGGAAAGGATGCTGGGGGAGGACAAGGTCTGGAGACCGTCCTAGGTGCGGAGATGAGCAGGTGTGTCCAGTGCTGGTGGGAAGATGATTATAGTAACAACAGCAAGCACTGAGTGCTTACTGTATGCCAGTCTGTGTGCTGAGTACCTTTCACACGTCTCGTTTTATCTTCCTAATGACCCCATGGGGACAGGGGGTATGCTTGTTACTGCCAGGTAACAGATGGGGAAACTGAGGCCCAGGCCAGCAGGTCTCGTTTCCCCCAGAATGCTACAGAACTAAGGAGGTGGATCCACCCCCATTTGGTCATTTCCTGTTTCCTGAAAACCTCTGAGTGTCAATTGAGCACTAGGCACTGTTTTAGGTGTTCAGGGACACAGCATTGAACAAAACAGACCAGGAAAAGTCCTCCCTTAGAGGAGCTGACAGTCCAGTGGGGACGGGTTGTTCAGATAATAAGTAAGCACAGGAAAGATGCAGATTATTTCAGGTGGTGATAAACATTACCAAGGACAGCAAGCAGGGAAGGGGGACGGGAGCCGCTAGGGCAGAAGAGAGGGGGGTACATAATTTTCAGTCAAGCCTTCCTCTCTGAGCTCTGCCCCTGGGAAAAGCCCGAGAACATCCCAGGGCTGAGACAGACCTACCAGCTGTCTCTCCGCTATTGGAAAGACCTACGGTTCACGATCATCGTCCGGGGTCAGATTTCTCCCTACAACAGTTACACGGGGAGGCTCTCGTCCGAGGCTAAGACATGACGGAGCCCAAGTGTCTGCTCCCACCTCCCGGAACTCCCGAGGCCACGTTCCCAGCCACAGCCCACTAATCCTCTGCGCACCCCCGTGGCTCACTAAGAAGGGTGCGCCCCGTGTGCTTCTCTCTCTCCCAGTCCCAGCCATCAAGACGGAGCCCACCGATGAATATGACCCCACCTTGATCTGCAGCCCCGCCCACGGGGGCCTGGGCAGCCAGCCTTACTACCCGCCGCACCCGATGGTGGCTGAGTCGCCCTCCTGCCTCGTGGCCACCATGGCACCCTGCCAGCAGTTCCGCTCGGGGCTCTCGTCCCCCGACGCCCGCTACCAGCAGCAGAACCCGGCGGCTGTCCTCTATCAGCGGAGCAAGAGCCTGAGCCCCAGCCTGCTGGGCTACCAGCAGCCGGCCCTCATGGCCGCCCCCCTGGCCCTGGCGGACGCCCACCGCTCCGTGCTGGTGCACGCCGGCTCCCAGGGCCAGAGCTCCACCCTGCTCCACTCCTCCCCGGCCAACCAGCAGGCCTCGCCGGTGATCCACTACTCGCCCACCAACCAGCCGCTGCGCTGCGGCAGCCACCAGGAATTCCAGCACATCATGTACTGCGAGAACTTCGCGCCCGGCCCCGCCAGGCCCGGCCCGCCCCCCGTCAGTCAAGGCCAGAGGCTGAGCCCGGGGTCCTACCCCACGGTCATTCAGCAGCAGAATGCCACCAGCCAAAGAGCCGCCAAAAATGGACCCCCAGTCAGTGACCAAAAGGAAGTATTACCCGCAGGAGTGACAATTAAACAGGAGCAGAACTTGGACCAGACCTACTTGGATGATGGTAAGACGCTTGCTTTTTCTCGTTGCCCGTAAGGACGGGGCCCCCGAAGCATTCCCCGCCCCCCCAGCTCCCCTAGCAAGTTCACTGTGTGGCCTGGGTGTCTTCCTTCACCCCTTTGGGCCTCCGTGTCCCCCTCTTTAATTTAAGGGGGTTGAAGAAGAGAACCTTTTAATGCCTCACCCGACCCTGTGCCCAAATCCTTTCCCAGCAGGACTTTTGGGGCGGCTGGTAAGAGGTTTAGATTTCGCTACAACCAGTGCAACGGAAAGAGCAAATGAGGGCAGTTCTGGCCGAAGGAGTGTCCCCAGGGTCATGAACTGGGGCGGTTTAACCGCTTCCACTGTCTTTGCATTGCCAAGTAGAGACCAAGAATAGACCAACCGAAAGGAAGGAAGGCAGGCGAACCTTTTATTCCTGGAGAGAGAAAAAAAAGTCCTGCTTGCTAGCCCTCTTTTGTGTATCTGGGGGAGGGGGAGTGGAGAGAGGGAAGGAGCAAGCTCGCTGAAAAGTGGAGCATGAATGGGGGGCTTGCAGGCAGGCTCGGGGCATATCTGTGCCGTGGAGCCGCGGAACAGAGAGGCGCATTGACGGGAGGGAAACAGCGGGCTTCCGTTGTGGTGAGCCGGGCTGCTGGGGTGGTTGGGCCAAAGGAAAAGACTCAGGGCGGCTTTGTGTGAGTCTGTAGGTGCCTGAGTTTGTGGGCGCTGGTGGCGGGGGCCGGGAGGGGGGACCAGCAGCTGGAGGGTCGTCTTGGCGGAGTGGCTCTATCTGTGACGGTGGTCTGTGACCTCAGGAAGGAGGGGCCCGCCGTGCTAGAGGACTCACCTGGGATCAGCCAGGTGCCGCTGCAGGACAGAGAGGGCGGGGCCGGCGGAGCTGCCCCCCCCGCCCCGCCCCTGGGGGGCGGTGCCAGAGAAAGGAAAACAGGTGGTGTGAGTTTCTTAGTAGAAGGAAAACCTGCACCCCTGGCTGCCATCCGCAGCTCCAGCTTCACCTTTCATAGGCAGCAGCAAGTGATATACTCCGAAACGTCAATTACTTCAGAAAATTTACTCTTGGGAACCCAGCCAAGTGATAGGAAGTAAAGCCAAGAGCTTCCAAATGGCCACAGCAGTTATCATAAAAACCAGATACTGAGTATCCCACACTTCGGTGGCAGGAATCCTCTGGTACTTACTCAGGCAGAGACTGTTGACTTACTTTTTGCGAAGTTTTGACAATCTGGGTGATCTGGGGGTTCCGGGATTTCTGGTAGTTTCTACGTCCTCTCTCTAGTAAAACTATTGATCACAGACTTCCCCCAAGGCACATCAAGCAGAGATGTCTTGGGCCACTTAGTATAGAGTCAAACTGTCCTTGTAAGGCTGACCTCAGGGTGTTGCTGTGTTAATAATTGATCTGTCTCATCCTGAATATTTAGACACAGGTTGAGTTAGGGTCACTGTGCTCGGTTTTAAAAGGGAGACCCACGTGCAATCCATCCTCGAACAATTTACACTACAGATGGTGAAGATAAAATTTTGGTTGCTTATTTGAAAGGGAGCTATCTTGTAGAAAATCCATTTCATGCATAATGCCAAATGCAAGCAGATAAATGAAATGTGGCTGTAACCAGACCTCTCTCCACGCACGAGCTTGGGGGATGTGTCAGGGATGAGGTGCTTCCTAAAAAAAATGTCTGAGCAGGCCCAGGTAACTTTCCCCAGCTGACTCTGTGTCTGGTGGTTGGTTTGGTCTCCCCGAGCTAGATGTGTGCCGGCCCCTCCCACCTGTCTGTCATTCCACATTAAAGACAAACGGTGAGGGTCTCTGTTAGAGATGGCGAGTTAGTCCGTGCCCTGGCTCTTAGGGATTTATCAGTATCCAGATGGTCATGACTCACCTTCGAGGGTCTGTCATGGCCCCAGACCCACAGAAGTGCTTCCTGTGTTCACAGAAGCCTGAGTTGCGGACCAAGCAGCTGAGGATAGGGACCCTTTAGGGCCTCCTAAATGCCTTTCTGAACACAGGCAGGTTCAAAGTCATGGTGAAAGTGAGCTCTTGGCAGGTCAGTAACATGAGTCAGCCCTAAGGATGTCTCGGAGAACTGAGTGCAGTGAAATTGCTTCTCCTGATGGAGCCTTTTCTTGAATACTTTCTGCACAAGCCCAACTCCACGGGATTTTAGGAGATATTCTCTGAAGTGAGGGGGCCATGGCTTAAAAAGGTAAAAAAAAAAAAAAAAGAATCTGTAAAACCAAGTTTTAAAAAACTTGTTTACTGCAGGACTTCTCAGTGCCTTTACTGCACTCATGGACGTTATCAATCTCTAAAATGAGAGATGTAGCCCTTTCTAGAATTACTCAGTCACACGTAAGAGAACGTGCAACTCCAGGGGATGCTGGTCACACTGCATTTTATTATTCTCGCTGTGAATGGAATCCTAGAGTGGTACAACATAGGCAAACCTGGAACCTCGGTTCCCCAACATTCTGGGGAAATAACCTTGAGGGAGTTTCGGAGTTCAGAAGCCCAGTACTGCCCCCAGCCCATACGCCTGTATTCATGCTTCTGAGTTCTTTGGCTTCACGTGGGGCCAGAGCAGGACAAGGCAAGAGAGTAATTTCTACCTGTGTGGCTTCCAAAGGGCAGCAAGGTGGCTGCTGGGTAGATGTTCAGTACTTGACCGGCAGTGTCCCCAAGCCTCTGTACAACCCAGGACCAGCCAGTGTGGCCAGCTGTGCCCCGTGTAAGCCCCAAACATCACTGCCACTGCGGCTCCCAGGAAGAGGTGTGTGCCCTTTGGTCTCCCGACCGCCGAGATCTCAGACCCCTCCAACGGAACATGCTTGGGTTCCACCGTTGGCTTCGTGGATGTGAGATTCAGGCTTCTCAGTTGACTTCTGACAGGCAAACTGGAAATCCCTGAGTCATTTCTCTGGTCCGGTTGGGAGACATCCTGGGTTGGGAAGCTCCTTTTCTGTGCCTTTCACGGATTACGCCAAGGGGGCCCTGCCCACGAAAGCCGTATCTGGCTGCCCAACCAGGAATCGGCATGTGCTTCCGGCGTGCGGGGATTTCTCCCGTGCCCTTCATGGGCCTTCAGATTCGGGCAGAGTGTGCTTTCCTTGGAAAGTTCGAGAGAGCGGGCTTAAGTGTTTTGAGGGTCAAGGGAAGGTTCCTCGAGCTGGAAAAGGAAGGGGTCACCAGACTCAGGTCCAAACGTAACAAATCATCTTTGAAGTTGAATGGGCCACTTGACTGTGATCCCTGGAAGCCCCCACGTTTGGGTTTCTTTTCCTGACCCTTTGAGCATGGTCCAGAGGGTCCTGTCCGGGCGTTCTACCTGACTCTGTCACGTTGCATTCCTGCACACAGACCATGTGTCTGGGCCGCACTTTGTCTTGGAACTCCAAAATGCAGCTTCTGCTTTTTCCACTCCAAGGACTTGAGACATTTTCAAAAAGTCTCATTTAGAGCTGGCAACATAAGTGAGATTCCAGAGCCACGTGCATCCCCACCCCTTCCTCTCCCTACGCTCCTCTACCCACACCAGGCACTTTCCGTAGTTTTTCGGAAAGGTAGGCTTTGCACACGCACTCCCTTGTTTTTTCTCTGTCCTCTTGTCCCTACAACCTCCTTGTTCTGAAGTCCCCGGTTTTGCCTGGAAAACACCAGCAGTGAATGCATTCTTCCCTCCTTCCCTTCCTGCCTCCACCCTCTCTTGTTAGTCCTCCCTGCTGGTAGGCTTCCCTCCCTCCCTCTGTCCCCTCCATCCTGACCCTCCTGCCCTCCCCCTGCAGCTCCCTCCCCACCCCTAGCTAGTGGCTGGTTACCTACTCCGTGCCTGGCACTGTTCTGGGACCTGGGTACACCGGCGAACAAGTCAGATGAAGTCCTTGCTCGTGTGGGGTAATTTTTCAGGGAAGGAGATAGACATTAGTATGTAAGGTAATAAGCATATTTCAGATGGTGATAAAAGGCCATGAGGGAAATTGTGCAAGGTTAGGAGCGAGAGTGCGGCCGGGTGGGGGTGGTGTTGGCCCCTGAGACTCAGTGCACAGAAAGGCTGCTGTGGGGAGGTGGGGACAGCGCTGGCGGGTTTTTGTCAGTGCAGTGTGATTTGATTTACCTTTTAAAAAGATGACTCTGACTGTGTTTGGAAAATGGACCACTGGGAGGCAAGAGTCGGCCAACAGGGGCTTTACTTTGTTTCAGACAAAGCCAGATACAAAGAGTGAGAATCCGGCAGCCGGCGGGTTACGGAGGGGTGACACGTTTTACAGAAGGTTGCCTGACGCGTCCTCTCGCTAGTGCGATTATTTAAAATGTGACTGGGATTGTCAAAACGGGACTAGTTCACAAGTAGCTCTTGGATTGCCGCTGCCTGGAGCGATGGGGGGCAGGTGTCCGTGCCTCCTGGGCCCAGGGCCCTTGGATCCGGCAGGTAGGGAGGGGGTGTGCCGCACAGGCCCAGGCAGGGGAGAGGCATGGACAGGCTCCGGCCGGGGCCACCGATGGCACAGTCTCTGCAGAACCAGGGGCTCTCGGGTCATCGGGCCATCTCACCGCAGGCTCTGCATGGCAGGCCTATGCCATCCGCCTTGAGATTCAGCCACAGACGAGAGGACGAGGGACGGGGGAGGCTTGGGACTCTCCAAGGAGTTCCTCGATCCCATTCTGGAAATGTCTTGGGGAGAAAGGATGTGGTCTCGGTGGCGCTGGAGCATCCGCCAGTGGCTCGGGAGGATGGCAGATAGTGTGAGCGTTCCTACACGTGTGAAGAGCAGAGACCAGTCTGGTTTTGGTTCTGCGTCTTTGGTCTTCGTGTGAACTACTTAAAAAAATCATTTATTGTAATACATTGAATGAATTTGAGCATCTCTCTACATATTTCAGTATCGAGATACACGCACATTCAGAAATGAGTCGCATGCTCCGATTACCACCTGGACCATGCATGACATGGAATCATGGTAGCACCCCAGCAGCCCCCATGGGTCCCCCCTCCTCTGTCCCAT